TGGTTTGTTTATCCTTAGTTTATGCTCACCAATTCTGGTGTGCAATTCCCTGGCAGTTTACCCTATGTAAACCTTAGTGCAATCGTTGTAGTTAATTTTATATACGCTGTCCCTAGCCCTTTTAACCGGCAAGGGATCTTTCAATTGCACCAAAGCTGAGCGCAGCGTTTTCCCCTTCGGGAAAGCTACTCGAATGTTGGCTTAGTTCAACGATGTTCCTGCTTTATATGGAATGACTGCTGTGCCAAACTATTTCTTACTGAATCAAAATACTGGTCAAGATATCAATATCTTTCCTAGTTGACGCTTAATCAAACTCAATGCGTATCCTATTTCTTGAAGTCTGTTGGCAATCTCGATTTGGGTTGCCATTTGGTCTAACTCTTCTGTGCACAAGGCTCTGACCCAACGAAACATCGATGAGACAATACTGCGCTACACGGACTTTGGGTGTACCGATGAGTAGCTTAGGACGGTTCCTGTGTCTGTTGGTTTCTGGTAGAAGGTAGTTTTTAATTTCCCACCAACCTTATGTGTTATACAGTCCAGGAAGGGTAATGTGCCCGAGGTGAACTCTATTTCCATGCTAAACTTGATGTATGGGTTTAAACCACTGAGATAGTCGTGGAAGCTGTTCACGTTATCTCGTTTGATTACAACAAGCGTCTCGTCAACAAAACGCCAAAAAACTTTGGGTGGACAATGATATCCGGCCAAGGCTATTTGTTCGAAGTCCTCCATATAAATATTAGCTATTGCAGTTGCGTCAAAAGCAAACTGGTCAAGATTCAAACACACTGTTATGCTCTCAACTATTTCATTCATCGTGAGCTGTGTCCGTTCCCCGTGTCTGCCAGTAACAGCCTCTTAATTACCTCCAGAGCTTCCTTATTCAAAGAAAGAACCCGAACACTTGAACAAGGGAACTAGCACCAGCCGATTACCGGTTTCAGACAGCTAGAAACCGACGAGACTTATTGTATTGGTATTATTGATTGACGTTTTCAGCTAGGCGTGATGGTGTCACGAGGATCCCGCTTTTACGCGATTTATCTCACTGTCCCACTGCGATCCAATCCAGGCACGACACATGACAACCAAGCGCATTGTCGTACATCCGAGATTCATGTTTATGTTCGCTGTCGCCCTTGTGCTTCGACTGGCAGGCTACTGTGGACCAGATTAAGTTTTGCTAGGCTCACCACAAAATTAGCGCAAAACTAAATGACTAAAACGTGAACCATAGTTTCAACTGAACTGACCAGGCAGTTGAAGTGAATCGCCTTGAATTTCGCGGAGCAGCACAATGTTCAAAAAGCATAGTGTTTGACTTAGGTGTCGCACATGTACTGTCTTTATTCTCGTGGTTACTCACAACTCAAAAAAGAGTTGTCAGTGAGGACGGTCCACAAGCGTTTGGTTGGAAGAAAGAGACCAGGGTTCGGGTTTTTACCGAGTGTATATTTGTAAGGCGAATGAGTTAGTAGTATATCAACTTCGGCTTCCTTCCGATGTTTCCTCCAATGATTCATCCGTAAGTGTCGTAATTATTCGACAGTTCACCATGTGCAGCGCTCAGGACGGAACAGCTGGTTGCCCCGAGCAATATTTTGAACTCAGGCCTTGTCGTACCCGCAGTATTCGTTTGTCAACGTTCGAATGGAGTCCCGAAAATCCACATCAGCCCCTTTTATTTAATGGAGACTCAAGCACAACGGGCTTTTGGGGAGTAGGTAAGTAAGTAAGGATAGTGAGCTTGCTACCACCCGGTCTGAAGAGGTGGTGTGTGCACTTTGAGCCATGTTACTGATTGGCCCAGTAACTGTCTTGCTTATTTAAGGTATTTCTGACGTTATGGATTAATCTGTAGCTGTAGATGTAAATCAACAAAAATCTCGTCTCGTGGACAGATGCTTCACTCATGGGACCACATCGGAACTCGAATAATCTGTGTTTGTGTCTAACTACTGAGAAAACCTGCTTTGTGCGCTAAACTGCGTTACCCATGGCACTTCAAACGCTTCGGCGTTTCTAATATTCCAATATACTGCGGTTAAACAAGATGTCAGGCATCTTGGCTTCCATGCCATCTATGTTTTGTACCACTTGGATTTCGATCCTTACGAAACTATCAAGTGATTATATTTTTATATATTTGTTATGTACTACTCACAAGGTTGCTGAAAATCCGTCGACAGCCCACGACCGGTTTCGACCTTTTTTGGGGCTCATCAGGTTTCCGTCAAATGAGTGCAAATAAGAGTTTGTTCGCCAATTTCGTGCAATTCGGTTTCAAGTAGAACACAAGGTTGACGGAAACTCGGGGACTGCGCCTACCTGATGAGCCCTAAAAAGGGCGAAACCGGTAGTGGGCTGTCGACCGATTTTCCGCAACCTTATCAGTAGCACATTACAAAGATATACATATATCGCGATATCTCGAATGTTGTAGCGACCGAAGCATGAGGCGGCCTGTTCCAGCACATTCAGTTGACTGGAAACATCACAAACGAGAGATTCAGCTGGGTTCCAGGCGAGTCTCTCGAAAAACCAAATTAGTTTGCAAATGAGTGTATATTCTCTGATTATATTTTTGTTCTCATATCCGGTAGTGGCTGGTCATAACTCACCGATTACCCAGTTGTATGTCCTGGAATCGTTTAGAGAATTAACGTTTAGTATGCCGACAATACTGAGATGAATCACTCAATCTCTCCTCTCCTATACCAAAAGGTCATGCTTGCGTCCAGCTACACAGGTGCTGGAATTGTGGAATTCTGGAACCGCGTCCTTGAATTTAAAGAAATGCAAATAGCCTCCAAAGAACTTCAGTCTGTGCGCAAGAAACAAATGAAGGTGAGCTTTCTCATATTCCCATTGTTAAAAAGCAACCATAGGGAACATGGGTACATTCCAAAAACGAAGGGCTTATCAAGTAGGACATTTGTTAGAGTAGCGTCCGAAGAAGGCCGCAAAAATGCTATTTTTGTTGTTTTTTTCACGCAGGCTAAGCTGGAATCGTTCGATTTAGGCAGACAGACATAGGTAGTCAGGACGATCGTCGCTACGGGTGTTGCAACAGGAACAAAAGTACAGTGTCCCCCCCCTTAGACGGACATAAAAACACCTAGTTAGAGCTGGTCATAGTTGTTACTTTTATGAATCGATTGGTGATATCCATGGTACACTCAAATTCCTCATCAATGACATCTACGGGAGAATCCACGAAAGGGACTAGCGGCAGACAACCTACCAATAGAGGACTGTTGGAGGAGACTGTTGGTAGCGTAGCTGGTGGTGGATTTGTTCGCCGAGCTGGGAAGTTTGATCTCAAATGTTCCACTGCCAATTGAGCTGACATCATTAGTACGCCGTTAGGGAACGGAATGGAGCGTAGGTTAGCGAACAAATCAATGACCAGAGGACGTGCATGTACTACAGACATTCCAGTGCTATCAGATGAGCCGCAAATAGACTATCCTCATTTAGGTACCGAAAAGGTCCAATACATTGTGTTCGACTAAATTCCTTTTCTCTCGAATGTACATTATTGCTTGGATGGGAGGTGTGTTCTCTTGAGAAGCAGGAACCACTCGGGACTCTGTGTGCCTAGCATACTCGGTTAACGGGACGTTTTTGGATTCGTCAAATACAGACGCCGGGATGTCATGAACTTAGTCACTTCAGCTTTCACTATACGGAGCTGAAACATGCAATTGCATAGGCCTACATACTTGTCGGAGTCTGTTTTCTGATCTGATGGAATTTTCTTCTAGAAGCTTGCCAGATTTGAATACAAACCAAAAACGGTTGAGGTTCATCTGGAACACCCTTTCAGTGCGTAGTTTCCTTGCCACCTGAAGGAGGCACTACAGCTGAGACACTGCCAACTTGCTCAAGCCTAGAAAGGAGCAGGGATTGGGTTCGAACCTCGGACCTCCAGGTCAGTGGGTTCTTGCCCACTGAACTATCTCGAGCTTCACTGTGGCCCTTTCCTCCTAGGGGGTGATTTTGTCAAAATCTGAAACCAGCGAGTATCTTTGTGACAGTGTATGAAATACCAAGATGTGTGACGGCTAACGCAGCGGGATGGTATGCACCATCGATGGATTCGATGAGTAGAATTGTTCCGAAACTTTACACGTGCGAAAAGTCTCTCCTTTTTTTCATCTGTCTCCCTAATATTTTTTCCAAAGTGATCTATAGGGACAAAAGTTCAACATTTCAGTTTTACTCATTGTGGTTCACATCGGCAAATCTAGTGCACTGCTCCCCATGGGGGAACACCTTGAAAAATTCTAAAATGTTTCTTCAACAGGAGTGTTCCCCTGGGGAATAAATACATAGGTCACCACCGTCGTTGTCTGTTGATGTCGTTTGAGGAAAATTTATTGGTATTTGGCTGTTGCTTAGTTACATTTCCCTCACAGTTTTCCGAGAGAAACATGAAACCTAACTTCGTATGACCTTTTAGCATCCGATAGTCTTTTTCACATCCGTCTCTGACATTTTGGTATGCCTTTGCTGTTCGACGTAGTTGAATATAACAAGTGGAACTGTTGTGACATTCTTCGTCGCCACTTTGTTCAACTATCGCCATTTTTCACTTTGTGTCATGTTTTTACGACAATGAACTGTGTAACGTGTGACAGGCCACCTGTTGTAAGTATGGCAATTTTCTCTGCTCTTTTACGCCTACGTCAATCGGGTTTTCGCATTCGTCTGTCTCAACACTAGGCACACAAACTATATAAACGGAACAGAAAAGTGAAACTGCTATAGGTCAAACACTTCACTTCCCTCAAACATCTTCGATGGTACATTGGGATATGGTTGTGTGCTACGCTGCACCGCGCTGTCCCATCCGACCGGCCGATGCAATGCAGTTACGTAAGTAGCTGAAGCCTAGCAGATGTGATAGGGATGATTAGGAGAACCAGCTCCGAACATAACTGGACCACACAACTACCAATGGAATAAACCGTTTTCGTTGAGACAGATTTCATTGGTTGTTCTTCACTTGCCCTTGAAAGATGGGTTCTATTTTTAGTTTCAATTTTCGGCCCGTTTTCGGCTGCACATGACGCGCCTGTACGCGTCAGTGTTCAACGGATCAGGTGATCCGCGCGTTCATTGGCTTTCTCGTTTGGTTAAACGCATCAAGCGGCTATCCAGACTCGGGTTCACGGTAATAATAAGGCATTAGGAAAACTGCGGCCGAAAATAGGGACCGGAGGTGAAGCGCGATTCAGTTGAATTTTGAAAACATGGTTCATCCTTCTACTCTAGGCGAAAATAGCTATCAAAACGCCGGATGTGGGGCTTGTACATTCGTCTCGGATAGGTACAGGTGTCAGGTGACCGACCCGAACTTTTGTTAACGCCACTAGCGGGCGTTGCAGGTTCTAGCAGACCTAGCCACCTGTTAACACACACTCGATCAGGTGGTGAACGACTGAACTAGGTGCACCTGCGTCGCAGAAGATAACTTACTTGTCGAAGCTAACATGTTGTGCCATCGTCTAAACGAGCGTTGGGCACGAGTTCTGATTTGCACCGTCTGATTGTGACGTCGGCACTCCAATCAGCTAAGTTACATTGGGCAATGAGAAGATAGACGATCACCGTCTTCTATTCTCGCTGCGATGTGTCCTCACGCACTCCTCTGTTTGTGGGGGGCAGAGAATCCCACACTGTTCCTTGGAGGAGCACCCTCTAAACCAGACACAGACCGACGTAGAATCTTCATGGTTATTCCGCGATTCAGCTTCCGAACTGGATGGCAGTCATCCTAACAGTAGTTTGTTGGCGGTTAGAGAGATCGGTCCTGTTTGTTGATCGACCTATCACTAACAAAGAACCTGATCCAACTTCAAGTAAGACCGAAATTCTAGTGAAATTAATAATCTTTGCTACAGAGGAAAATGTTGGTAGCTCAGCTAGCGTAGATGGTTGTTGGTTTGTTCGCTACGCTCCCTAACAACGCACTGATGATGTCACCTCGACTGGTGATGAAACGTTCGCAATCAAATTAGCCAGCTCAGCGAACAAACCAACGACCATAAATAATTTTGTATAATAGACAAACTAATAAATAGTTATGTATCGATGTGCCTGACCAAAAATTATCATAATTATGGGTTTGCTTAGGTTTTCGTGTTAGGTGTACAATCGATCTTGATCAATTCAGAACCACACCTTAAAAGCATGAAAGCCAAAACGAAAACGACTGGAAGTTTGGAAATGGCTTCAAACCGGTTAGACTCGTGTTCAAGCAATACGCTCAGCTCTACCACATTGATGATAACCACCGGACTCGTTCACGTCAGGTAATGTAACCACACACACACAGTAGGTGAATGCGATGCGATTCCCTTACTAGGACAGGTGAAACGAACGGCCAGTCCGCTTGTGAATCTAGTTCAGTAGCCAAACCTGGACTTTGAGCGTCCTGTCTCATCATTCCCACTGAACGGAACTTACTGTCATGTTAAACGGTGGTCTCGTGTTTCGATTTTGGAATGTATCGGATGTCGTGGGGCGAAAGCTGTCAAAATTTCCTGACCCTTTCTAGGGGGAGCTGGCCAATCCAGCGCAGTGTCAAAGTCCGTGGGATCTAGACGGCTGGTCTAATTACGGGGTTCATATGTAGCGAGCGGAAATTAAATGCTGCTGTATATGTCTTAGTAAGGTCACACTCTCTCGTGGGTCAAAAATGTGTGGCAAGCCCTAGTGCTGAAAATGATGCATTTTGAAGCAGAACACCGGAGACCCCACATCCTGAACCATTCAACACAGTAATACGAAACATCTGGAATATACTCTGTTGGTCGTAAGCACATACTGCAAATCGTTCAATGTATGAGGCCATTCTGAGCAACGAAAGTAATTGGTAGGTTGCCCAAGGACGACTTCTTTAAAGTGCGATCGATTTTTAACTCATCTGATTCTAGCGTGTACGGGGTCTCGCATCCAAACTGCCTAACCGCTCCCAATGGAGCACAACAACGGCCAGGAAGCACAACTCACGCACGATTGGTCGATCTGCTGTCCGTCCGGGACCAACGCGGCGAGCTGAACCACCTCCTCGTGGTGCCGACCAGGTAGCCTGGACGTCAGTCTGGGTGAACTAAGTGTTCAGCAACTCCAGACAGGGCCAACCACCCCGTTTGGTTTCAATGTGCTGGTTACTTTCGATAATGTATACTACGAATCATCTGGCGCCTCCGCACCAGTTCCAACCAGTACACAGAAGAGAGTCGTTGGGTTCACGTGAGGAATGTGGCAAGTGCTGCAAATCGAAAGCTGGCTTGGTAGCCCGCCATCGAGTTCACGAAAATGAAAGTGTTGGTACGAACACAGTCGCCCAATTGGCCTGCGCTGATTGTTCCCGCCTTTTTCCGACGAAGATTGGCCTGAGTCAACACCGCCGGCACGCACACCCCACCCAGCATAATGC